GATTTCAATTGATTCTAGTGTTCAGTGCCAACTCAACTACATCTAGTATAATAAACTCTGACCTAATTTAATTTCCATTTGAAATGTACTTGTTTAGGAAATTTGACAATTAAAATTCCTACTTTGCAAAAATAGGAATTTAAAGTAGAATTCATTTAATTTCTATATAAAATGTACTTGTTTGTATTTCTCTTGTATTTGAAAAATAGGAATTTAAAGTAGAAAATATACATGTTTAATTTCTTAGCAAAAATAAATATATTGTAAAAAAAGAAAAAGAAAAGGAAAAAGTATGTAAGAAGAGACCTACCACCAAGTCGGGTGGGGTGGAGTGGGTCTCACGTTTTTCATGGGTCACGCTCTTTGAAAATTAAAAAGATCCGACTCAAATCAAACCCAGTTGGACCACGTGTCAGGCACGCTCCGCCTCTGTAGAAAAAAAAAAGTCACGTGACATCAATCCCATCCGACAGCCTCCGTCACGCGCGAATACCAAGCGTGGGAGACAAAGCATGTCGACAGGCAAAAAATAAAAATAAAGAAAACGAAAAAGACATTTTCTATCTACCGAACTTTAGCTTCCAAGTGAATCAAAAGCAGGAGGGAGGAAGAGAGGGTAGGAAACCTGCTTTTGCTTTTGCCGTTCTCTATCTGTAATTTAATCCAAAAGCGCTTTTAAGTTTAACCCAAAAACACTTAAACAAAATAGAATTAAAAAAAAAAACAAAAATAAAGAGGAAAAAGAAAAATCCTAACCCTAGATCTCCAACAAGAAAGAACCCACACAGGCCCCAGTGCATTGCTGTCCGTACAAAATTGTTTGCTTGCAATATTTTGCTTTTTATTGGATGACAATCCGATGTCGTTGCGGTTGAGTCGGCCAACTGTGTTCTGCTCATGCTTCACCACCTGGGTGCTGTTCGTCTTTTAGGATCTTCAATTTTATTTTATTTTATTTTTTCTTTTTCGATTTTTAGTTTTGTATTTCTAGGGTTAGGGTTTCGATTTATTTGGGCTGTGAAAAATGGAGCCTCGTGTTGGTAATAAGTTTCGGCTCGGCCGGAAGATCGGCAGCGGCTCCTTCGGAGAGATCTATCTCGGTTTGTGCCTTTTTCTTCATCTTATTGTCTGTATTTGTTTATTTCTATATGTGATTAGCTGCTTAATTGCGGATTTGTATTGTTTTGGTCGTTTAGTGTGTGATTGGTGATGGATTTGTATGTGCAGGTACAAATATTCAGACAAACGAAGAGGTTGCTATTAAGCTTGTGAGTTTTGTTCTTCCAATTCAGCTTCAAATTTTATTTTATTTTTGTATTTTTTTAATGCCCATTGGCTTTCTTTTAGTTATGTTTTAGATTAAGTTAAATCTATAATAATGGTTTTTAAGTTCATGCTCTGATAAAAATGCTTCAGCTTTCTCTTTGAGTTAGTAATGCCAATGAACCAAAGGTTTTTGGATCAACTAATCCTTAGATCAATTTCTGCTAATGTTGATCCTAATACTGCTAGAAGCATAATCCTCTTGGTATTCCTTGTTCTAGGCTGAGTTACGGTGCGATATATAATGGTTTGATTGATAGATTAATATCTTGAAATTGTATTTACTTTTAATTGTGAGGTCTTGAAGTTTGGTGGTTGTGGTGAAGTTTGTTTTTAGAGTGTTATTAGCACTTTAGTGTGATGGATAGCTCTTGTGGGAGTATGAAGCTAATGGTTGTGCTGTTTATTATACATAGGAAAATGTCAAGACAAAACATCCGCAGTTGCTGTATGAATCCAAGTTATACAGGATACTACAAGGAGGAAGTAATGGAAATTCCAGACTTTCACACTTGATCAGTAGTTCAATTCTATAGGTTTTTGAATTTTTTGTTACAAGTTCTTACTGTTTTCTAAATTTGGTTCTTGCAGCTGGGATTCCAAATGTAAGGTGGTTTGGAGTTGAAGGAGATTATAACGTTTTGGTGATGGATTTGCTTGGCCCTAGTCTTGAAGATTTGTTTAACTTCTGTAGTAGGAAACTTTCGCTGAAGACAGTTCTTATGCTTGCAGATCAAATGGTAGGTGTGACTTTATGCATGTCATCGTATTGGTTTATATACTTGTTGGGAAATGTTGACTTTTGCCATGCTCGACATTTATTTCAGATCAGTCGTGTTGAATTTGTTCATGCTAAGTCATTTCTACATCGAGATATCAAGCCCGACAATTTTCTTATGGGCTTGGGAAGGCGTGCAAACCAGGTTTTTGCTCTGGTTTTTTTAACATGCTTGTGTAGGGTTTTGCATGCATGTGTTTTGGTGCGCTTATTTCATATTCTAAGGAGTTCATCTTGATATGGTAATTTGCCCTTATATGTAGGTATACATGATTGACTTTGGTCTGGCTAAGAAATACAGAGATAGTACAACCCGACAGCATATTCCTTACAGGTGAGGATGATGCTAGTTTGTGTTTCCTAATATGGTCTTCAAATATGATGCCAGATAATTTGGCATAAGAAAAACAAGAATTTGATTGGAACTGCGAGATATGCAGTTATATAGTAACTTCACCAGTCAAATTTCATTGGGCATGGTTTTGATTGCTGCAGAGAAAACAAGAATTTGACTGGAACTGCAAGATATGCAAGCATGAACACTCACCTTGGCATTGGTATGTTTTGGTCGTATTGTTTTTCCTTTGGTGTTCCTTCTAATGTATTGTTGTTGTTCCTATTAAGTGTATATCTGGTTTATAACATTGATTTAGAATCTCTTTTTATGCTATTTTGCACTTTATAGAGCAAAGCCGGAGGGATGATTTAGAATCTCTTGGTTATGTCCTTATGTACTTCCTTAGAGGAAGGTGATTATTTCTGAAGACCCTATATTTTACTGCAGTGCTATCTGTTGATGTTTTGTTTAGTAATTCTATTTGCTTGTAGTCTTCCTTGGCAGGGACTAAAAGCCGGAACTAAGAAACAGAAGTATGAGAAAATTAGTGAAAAGAAGGTTTCTACTTCAATTGAGGTATGATGTTTGTGAATGTTGTGGTCGTATGCAATTTAGACCTCATGTCTCGCATCTCGTGACTGGAGAGTTTAATGATTTCACAGGCATTGTGTCGTGGTTATCCAACAGAGTTTGCTTCATATTTCCATTATTGTCGCTCATTACGATTTGATGACAAGCCAGACTATGTTTATCTGAAAAAAATATTCCGTGATGTCTTTATTCGTGAAGGTTTGAATTCTACTTTCATTACAGTGAACATTTCTGAGTGCATTTAAACATTAATATAATTTTCGTGTGTTCTTGTGTCATATTTTTACACTTTGGATTTTGTTACAGGTTTCCAGTTTGATTATGTGTTTGACTGGACAATTTTGAAGTATCAGCAATCACAGCTGGCTACTCCTCCAACCCGTGCTCTTGTAATTTCTGTGTTATGTTTTACTTTGTCTTTTATCAGAATTTATGCATTTGTATTGACGTCTTGTTTGATATAGGGTCCTGGTGCTGGAACTAGTTCTGGGATTCCCCATGCTGCTGCTAATGTGGACAGGCAGACAGGTAGTTGTTTAGCATTATTGAATTTAAACACTATTCTTATAGATTGGCTCATTCATTCCATTGCATGTTTAAATTTTTTTTCTCCTGTATGCTTATTTTAAGAGGCAATCTTTCCTTAGCATGTTCTTTTATAGATATATTGAGTTCCTTTATTCACTAGTGTAGTGCTAAACTTATTGCTGATGGTTTTCCAATATTTGGTGTGATTTCTTTTGAAAGTTATAATTAGAAGCTGACTCCTGCATAAGCTTTGGAGTTCATAACATTTGCTTTTGGACTTCCTTGCAGGTGAGGAAGATGGACGGCCAACGGGTTTAACTTCATTGGATTCTTCTCGGCGGAGAATACCTGGGCCAGCTCTCAATTCCATGAGCCTTTCGAAGCAGAAGAATCCAGTTGCTAATGATGCTCCATTATCTAGAGAAACTCTTGTAAGTAGTTTGGAATGCATTTTTTAAAAATTGAAGATTTCCCTCTCGTGCCCATATATATATATCAATATCAAACTGGGACAGTTAAACAAACTTGCTTTAATGCCATCTGTCGAAAAGCTTATCTGCATGCTTGGGCCTTGCAGATGTCGAATAACAATATCTTGGGCCGGTCAGCTGGATCATCAAGGAGAGTTGCTGTTTCTAGCAGCCGTGATGCATTTGGTGGAAGTGAGTCTGATCCTTATCGCGCTCGTACAACCGATGCTAGTCCTGGAGCACACAGAATTTCGAGTGGGCGAAGAAGTTCACCGGTTGAGTCATCGGACCCCAGTAGGAGACATACCTCTCAAAGCAGGAACTATGAAACAACCCTTAAAGGCATTGAAGGTCTGCATATAGACAATGAGGAGAGGGTTCATTATTAGAGATGCTGACTTTGCAGGTTGCTGTAAATCGTAATTTGATTGTTTTGCTTTCATCAGATTAGGTGGTTTTAATATATATCAAAGGTGAGAGTCTGAGAGGCGATTTCGTTTGAACTCAGTTACCCCTGCAAGAGAGCTGAGTGTTTGTTGCTTCAACTTGTGCTTTAACACGCCCATCTATTTGCGTGATAAACAATGTAAATTTTCATTTTCCAAAAGTAAAATAACAAATTTGTTAAAGAAAAATGTACCCTTGTTTGCATGTCGTAGCTTTTTTCGTATTTGTTGATTTTTTATTTTTGACATCCGAGTTTATAATGTTCTTTCTCTTCAAAAACTGCAACTAGGATGCGTGATATCTCAAATTAGCTGTTTCACATTTTGTTTTCCCACAGCCAGCTATTGTATTAATATTTGCTTTGTAAACTGTAAATAAACTTATTTCTCGGGTAAGGTACACGGCTCATCTTTGCTTAGGGAGTCAAATTCTACGCTTCCCTTCCAAGTTAGAATGTCTTTAGTAGTCGTAGTTGTTGTTTCCACTTAGTTGAAGGAGATCTCAGATTCGACTTCCATGCGAGCGAGGACAATCAGTGTTCGCAAAGAAGTTCGATTCCAAGTTGTGGCTCACCCCACAGCTTTGTTGTAAGTGCATTATCACGTTGTAAAAATATTTTTGTAGATGTCATATTGTTGTTTAAGTAATGATTTTTTATTTATTTTTTAAACAGCCTCGTTATCAAAATTGAAATGCGAAATACTCTGGCCCGTTTAATAATTATTTTAATTTTAGTTTTTAGTTTTCATTTTTTGTGCTATATTATAGAGGAAAATGAGAGTGAGAATGAGAATGAGGACGATGATGAGATTGAGGGGGGAGGATGGGAGAGAGGAGTAACAAAAGTGAAAACAATTTCATGTTTTTGTTTTTGTTTTTGTTTTCACTTTTATTATTCATTCCTCTCATCCTCCCGTCTCATCTTCACTCTCATTCTCACTTCCATTCTCCCTCTTTTTCCTCTATACTCTAGCACAAAAAATGAAAACTAAAATTTAAATTTTGAAATGGTTATCAAACGGGACGCAGACAAGCCAAAGCCAGGCTTGTTGAAAAACCAGCATTCACTGTCCTCTTCCATTTCCCCCAAAACACACTCAAGGCGTGGGTGCACAGAAGAGAGATGGATAAGCTAGCCTAACGACGCAGCAAAGAAGAAAAGAAAACTGAAACGGCAAAACACAAGAAGGGAAAAAAAAAAAGCAAATGGCCACAAGACAGGACCTGAGGCCTAACACACCCTCTCTCTCTAAAGGAGACCTTTTTTTACAATCTCGCTCTAGAATAGCTTTAGTAAGAATCAGCCCCTTTCTTTTTCAATGTTGAAATTCCGGTTGAGGTCCTAAACTTTTCTAGATTCTGTAGCATCATGCAATTCATGTCCAAACCAACTAAACCATAATCGGAGAAGCCAAGATGTCATGAGAAAACATATCAAGAAAGCTACGCTAATTGCTTGTATTGTTGTGTTTGTGCCATCCTCTTTTTGGGTTTTGGGTGAGTTTTCGTAATGAAATTTCATCATTCGAACCAAAAAAAAAAAAGAAAAAAAAAAAACAATTTGCCCCTGTAATATTCCTTACAATTTAGATCCGAATTTTATAATTTTCATAATTTCCACCATAACCACATCAATATTTGCTTGGTTTGAGACAACTTATGTTCTTAGCAGAAAGCAGCAAACAAGGCTTTGAATAAAAATGGATAAAATTTCAGATACGAAACATCCAGAAATATACATATATTCATCGGCAAACATATTACCACCTCATTAAATTAACTTTATAGAATAAACCAACACGAATTAAACCACCAAATAATAATATATTCAGAAAAATCATTTACCGCCCATAGACCACTCTGTTGCAGGTTTCCTTGACCCACCTGAAGCTCTTCCTGAGAGAGCCTTTGAGCTTGCCTTCCACAGTATAAACCTTATAGCTAGCGACCCTCTTCTTCCTCTGCAGCTCCGGATCATTAAAGCTCCAGCTTTTCGAGGCAGACCCATTTGTGGACTTGGCCTTCTTGAACCTATCGCCATTGTTGCCCATCTGGGTTTGGGTCGGCGGCTGCGCTGAAGACGCATAGGAGGCACTGTAACACCTGAGATCTTGCATTCCATTGATGCCGCCGGAGGAAGTGGGGCCCGAGCCATTGCCGCAGTAGCTCTCTATCTGCATCATTCCATGCCCGCATGATTTGGATCTGAAATCATCCATGGCTGCTTTCACTGAGAACTTACGGAAATCTGAGCTCACTGTCTCTGAAGCTCCAGTCAATTGGTCAAATGAGAGATTCTTGGGGGATCGTGGCATTTCGGCCGATCAATTGCTTATTTAATAATATTTATTGTTATTCTCATATGATTTATTTCATTCTTAATGTGGTTCGGCGCTGACTAGGATGCTGATCCGTCGGTGATATTTAGAAAAAAAGAAAAGAAAAAAGTTTTGAATTGGATGTGGAGGGGGTACCACTGGACTCTCCGCAGTGGAGTTTACCAGGTGTTTCTGTTCACGTGATAATCTCGTGACTCAGGACAGCGACCTTATGGGAGTTTGCCTGCAGTGTGTTTTTCCTTGCGCATTTCAGCAGTTTAGGATAATGCATATTTTTGTAATTGGGCCCACTGCATTTTTGCGATGCTGTCCGATGACATGTGGAAATACTGTGGCAAAATTATTAAATAGCATTATTACCATAGTGAACTCACAATATTAACTGAATTTTGATATTTATTACTTTATTTATCTTTACTATGGTATCTATCAACGTATATTTGTTTTCAAATAGTACTAATACCATTACTATAACAAATTCATAATATCAACAAAATGTCGATACTGTTTGCTATGAAATATGACGATAATATCAGTAACAACAACGTAGAATTCTATAATGAGAGTCTTATCTAAGGCGCTTAGAAAAAGTCATATCTCTTTATTATTGGATCAAATTGGTTAGTTTGATTCAACAATTAAGAGATAGGGCCTCGTCTAAGGACCTTATCATCCAACAGCTAAGAGATATGACCTTATCTAGCAACAACAACCTATCTAGATGATATTGATATAATAAAGTTATTTGCTATTTGAGAACATTGTTACAGTAAGTGACATTAGCCTACAGAGATGATATGTTAGAATGAAGTCATTTGCTATTTGAGAACATTGCTACAGTAAAAATGGCATTTAAGATGATAATCCTTATGTACTTTTCTTTCTCCACAATCAGTTGTAACATCGAAACAAGAGCATACCTATATTTTATAGGAGATAAACAGGGAAGATGATAATGAATGCGTAACCTGATCGAAACTGAAGCATTTACAAATTTCCCATCTAATTATATACCAGAAAAACTAAACCAGGTAATACAGTTGTGGCGCTACTCACTGTTTGATAACGACATTTCAAAAGTTTATATAAAATCAACTGAATTAACCAAAAATATGCGTAACATGAAAAACGTATGGATCATGAAAACATCGCAAAGGAAGCTGCGACACTGACAAATGATCAATCACTGGGAGCAGCGAAAGTCGCTTCCGGAACAATCAATCCACACCTTGAGATTGAGGAGTCAAAATCTTATTCAGCTTTCCCTTTCCGATTCATCAAGTCGTGGTAATATAGAAGCAGACACATAGGCTGACCAAGGATGCAAAAGATGAACCAGAAGATCATATTTCCAACCTGGAAATAACATTTCAAAAAAGAGATTAGAAGAAATATAATGATATGACAAATATTGAATCAATAAAAAGGCTAAACAGACATACCATCGAGTTTCTGAATTTATCTTGCAGGTAATTTGTGATCAAGACAAGCGGTACCTGTGACAAAAATGCAACAAAATAAAAACAATTTAAAATAATCATCTCATTCTTATTTTTGCAATGCAGAGTGCAAACAATACTCAAAGCAAGGAAATTAAAATGTTCTTACCTGCAACATAATTCCTATGAAAGCCCACAACTTGAACATGTGGCAAGGAACAGCAATGCACAGCTGTAGTTGAATTGAACAATAATTCATGACAGTATAAGTAATTCAGAGAACATATAGGGGATTTGAAGGTAGTAAACAAACACAAACATTATACAGATGAGCAAGACAGAAAACAGAAGGGGGAACGATTCCGATTGACCCTCAGATAATGTTTCAGTTGGAGTTTGCATTGGTGATAACCATGGGGAAGCTCTGGGTCTAGTATAACATACATTTTCACACTCAAATCGAATGTAGTTTTCTGCACTTTGCCCCAAATCAAATATTTTGGTTCATATTGGAAGAATGTAGAGGTTTTCTACCCATGTCCTGACATCAGGATTTATTCTTTACTATGTATGCTCATTTTACTCTTATAACATACTCGGGACTCTTTTATCATCACTATCACCCAATAAAACAATAGGACTGGTTATTAAGATTGAGCTTGATCTCAACTACTGTATAAAAGTAAATTACCAACTGTGCACATTCCTGGATAACGTATGTCTAAATAGCTAACTCTTGCTTGGCTTCTAAGATCGCTGAGTTTTCTAATGGAAGGGCTCAAAGCCATCCTTTCAGTTTCAAGTCCTACTACCCGCCATAAAATCATGATACTGAGTCAGTTTCCAGAACCCCAATCTCCACCAACACTCCCACTTCAAAAAGAGAGAAAATGCTAATTCTCATTCTAGACTGACTACAGATTCAATTAGGAGGGAGATAGAACTAAATAACAACATAAACTCAGAAACAAAGCAATATACCTCATGAAATACAGCAGATACTAGGAAGGCGATTACAATGGCAACTCCCTGAATTGAAAGGAACAAAAAATAAACAAATAACAAATTAAATTCGAGCTTTCTTAAAAAAGAAAGTTCAAATCAGATCTATCTCGCATCACTTAGATTAAAATAAAGAGAAACTTGTTACCTTTGGTACTCCATGCCGTAGGCATGGAAAATAGATATGGCGAACCATCCATTTATGAACAGGCTGAAATGAACCCAATCAGTATTACACTTTCACTAAGGCATATGATTAGCATAAATGACTAATGAGAACCACAAGGCCACCAGTAAATTCAATATATACACAACAAATGAAGTCTACGCTATATTCAACTACCTCATGGAGAGAAGGAGGTGAGTATAGAATCATGTTAGCAAACAAACTAAACAACAGAAAAGATTTTAAGATATTATTTAACTATCTTTACATGGCAACTTTGATGACAGTACAATTGGGATGCATCAAGAACCAAATGGAAAACAGTCCCATAAGCAACCTAAATATCAAATAGAAGAAAATTTTTGGAACCTATTATCATCTTAGATCGGCAACCAGTAGATCAAAACAAATGATTTCTCGTAAGAATTATGTATATGGAAAAAAGTAAGGAAACAACTGAATTAGAGTTAACATACATACCATATTCCACATTCTCCAATACTGATGACAGCCACAAAACCAGAAGAGCCATGCAACAAAAGCGAATAGTCAAAATTTTCAATTAAGCAAAGAGCTGTAATAATGTAACCCAAGAATAAGTTTCATACAACATAAAACGCACCTCCTCAACTGTCTTTGCATTCCACCAATCTTTATAGAACTCTCGATCACCAAAACAAAGCAGCTCAGCAAGAATATTTAACCTATATTTGCAGCACTGTATGTAAGCATAAGCTAAACAATGAAATTATTTGAAAGTGTAAATTTACCATAGCAACGGACGCACCAGAGGTGGAAAAAGCAATAGAACATGCATAGCCACACGTATAAATTGGGAACAGAAAGTTTCAAAACCCTCTCTATTGCATATAAGAGGTTCCCTTTCAAAGGATGTTGTGAATTCTTGACAATAGGATTAATGTACTGCACAAATATACAAATGTCATAATTCTGCAATAATCAAAGGAAAACAAAAGAGGACAGAAAGCTAGTTGAAACAAAAAATTCAAACTTACTTGTTCTACTATAAATCCCATCAGTCCAGTAAAAATTATCAACTTGACAAGTTGACGAAACACCCAACCCTTTCGAACACATGCTGTACGAGGGTAACTAGTCTGAAATAACAATGAGCCATATGGAAATACATGAGTTGAAAATAAAATCAAAGCATTAGAGCTTGTATTTGGAAAAAAGCAAAGTTATGTTGGAGCAACCATGAAGCTTACACGTATGCATGACAGTTTATAAATCAAGAAAAACACTTGTTTAGTTTGTCTTACATGCCATAACTTTACTTTTTATCTTTATAACCAGAAAAATAAAAAGCAAACAAAATGACAAAAGCATCAGAACATGTATTATTCCACTTTCTGAATAGGGATTGACAAATACAAAAACCTAGTTTAACTCTGAAAGAGAAAAAAGTGTAATTACCTGATAACATAATGTCGGAGCAACCATGAAGTACGCCAAACTTTTTAAGCTAATATTCTGAGGGATATCTGTATTTGAAGAACTGGGCACGGCATCCCCCTAGCATCAGAGAAGGACTTCGTGAATTAGAAAACAATCATTTATCACAAGAAAAAGAAGTGTTGAAGAACATTAAAGATCTATTAAAGTGGGAAAATATCAAGGAAGAAAGAGAGAATCAGTGATTTTTTTTAAACTTTCTTCAATCCTTATATTAAGTTAAGGTAAAGGAAAAAACCGTTCATTAATTGAAAACCTTCTAAGGAAATTTTTTATAAGCTCATTGCTACCTTTTCAGTTGATTTGCCAAGCGCTCTCATGTCATAGTTTGTATGCACATAAGAAACGAGCTTTAACCACACGATGCAAGCAAAGAGCATCAACGTAACACCAGATAAAACAGCAGAATCGCACCTGAAGAAATTGAAATCACCTAATTAAATACAGCATCTTCACTACTATTCACATATTCCAGAACTAAAGACCCCATCAATAAAATCCAACAATAGCCTCTCCTATTGAAGCTCATTATACATTAAGAGACAATTTTTCAGACAGTACCACAATATCTTTTTCCATCTACAGAAAGGTCACTTAACAGATTAATAGCACTAAAACATATATTATAGGCAACAACGAAATGATCATCTAATAGTGAGATTCTTTTATGAGCATGAGAAAAGTGAGCATGCATAATGCTAAATGTCATTGTTTTTATTTAAAATCTTAACAATCCAACGGCTCAAAACATCCCTGCTTATGCGTGCTCACTTTTCCCATGCTTATAAGAGAACCTCTCTTAATAGTGATAGAACAAACCCAAATCTTCCTATCAGCCATGGCAGAACAGTTTCAACTATAGATGCAAAAATAAAAACTTATCAGTATGTTCAAACTAACCTGAGAATCACCAAAACCGGATACAAAATTGAAGTTGTGGTAATGATCATATGAAGAGAAACAACAGCCTGCAATGTCAGGCCAGAATTTAATATTGCAAATATACTTGTGAAAATGTACTATTTTGAAGTATTACCATATGAATTACTCACAGGTTCAGATATAGACTTTTGCAGGGCTAACTTCTCAACTACAAAGGCGGCAAGTGGGAAAATTGGAAGAGTAAGGCTGCAAGTGAAAGAGAAAAAAAAAAAAAAAAAAAAAAGCAGAATAAAGTGCCCACAAACTATAATTTGAAATACTAAAAAATTGAACATGAGAACGAAAAGTTAATTAATTCTATAACCAAACAGGGTACCAATGCAAAACGATAGAAAAATTACCAGCACATAAGAAGGGGCCAATCTCGCAATGATCTTGAACTAAACCAAAAACCAGTTTTAATTAACCAACCATACTGCAACAATAATTAAACCATAAGGCATCTAAAAAAAATTCCGCTAAACGGCATGAAGTTAATCAAAACAACAAGGATACAGGCATATGGCAAACCTTCATTAAATTCTCGATGATAAGCCTGCTGTTTACAGCAACAAGCACTACTATACACAGGTTGAAGAGACCTGCATGGCTCTGCTCAAAAGAGAAGTAAAACTAGGAATTAGCACCGCGCTCGCACACAACTCAATGCTAACAGACCAGAACTTGTTTCCGAACAAAACAACTTTTCATTACTAAGAATTTTCAATAGCATTTCACAATTTCGATCATGCGAAACGAAAGAAATTGTCTTTAACAATGAAGTGACATTAAGCTAAATAAGGCCTAAATACCTGTCTGAAGATGGCATCAGAGCTGAGAGGGCTCTCTTTGACTCTTCGATGAGCTGGAACCGAAGGCCGATACGCGAATTTCACAGCCGAACGATCGCCGCCTCGATCATTTTCGCCGAGTCCTTTATTGTCTTGGACAGCATTGACCGAATCCATAGAAGCTTCCGAGCCTCCAATACGAACGTTATCGCCGGGTTCGCAGATCTTGGCGGTCACCGAGTCTTCACTGCCGGAGTCTCTGACCAAATCGTTCAACGTACTGTCGTCTTCGTCGGTCTTGGAGCCGGAATCGGCTACATCTCTAGGTACGGTTGTGGCGGCGCCGGGCCTGCGTCGGAGGGTGTGGGTGAGATCCGAGTCGGTGAGAGGGCTCGTGCTGGTGCCTGTGATGCCTACGGTCTCAGGCGAATCTGAAATCGCCATGAAATGGAAGAACCGCAATATACGATAGCTTTGAATATATAACTATATATTATATATAAACGTGAGAGAGAGAGAGAGAGAGAGAGAGAGAGAGAGAGAGAGATGTGAATTTGAGAGCTCGCTTAGGATGCTGGAGGGTCCAGAAAGTTCATGCAGAGAGCGAGAGAGATTTGAACCGAATAAAGAGAAAAGGAAGGGTGAGCATAGCCCGGAGCAAGAAATTTCGAGAAATGGCGGTGAATGAGTGGGAAAGGCAAGCGGTTTTATAAAAAGCGACAAACAATTAAGAAAGAAACAGAGGGAAGAGAGAGAGAGAGAGAGAGAGAGAGTGCGATTTTTTTCTTCTGGTGTAGTAATGGTAATGATGTCAGAGGAGGGAAGGGTGAGGTTGATGGCGGTAGGAGTGAATGAGCCAAAAAAACGACAACAGAAATTGAGGAAGCAGCCGCGCTTTGGTTATGGCGTTTCACAAAAAACAGTGTCGTCGTGTAAGGCTGTTACAGAGGAGAGAGGACGCTGCGGCAGACCTGGTCCGCTGGAGCTCTACACATCCAATCAAACCGCTTCCCGGTCCTTCCTTCCTTCCTTCCTTCCTTCCCTCTACCCCACATCCACAAATTAAGACATTATTAAATGTTAATTATTCTATATTTATTTTACTTACCCAATATAATTAGATCAGCAATCAAATAAGCTGCTGATTTTGAGTTACTCATATTGTCTTACATGTCAACTATTTATTAGTTTAATAAAAGAAAAACGCTATTGTAAACAAGCAATGCTAGGTATACTATATTTATATATCATTTTATGTACGGTGTACCACCTCTTTAATAGAGGTGAAGCTTATCAAAATAATGGGGCTCACCTCTATTAAAAAGATAGTAAATTTAGGTTTTAACTATAAAAAAAATTTCACTTTTGAAAAAAGTCAAAACTTTTTAAAAAAAGACAAAAAAACCTCTCAACTTTTAAATCAAAGACATGCAAATATAAAGGATTCCTTAAGAAATCCAAAAATAAATAAGGGTAATTTTGTCTATTTTTGCTTATTTTACAAAATTTCTCTCTCCTTTGTGTTTTTCCAAAGGTATGACTAGCATTTTATATTCTAAACTATCTAATCTATATATCGAGATCTTCAACCGTTAGTGATCAAATGACTTTGATTTGTTGTTGCATTACATTGCACTGCATTCCATCCGTTAGTGTATTAAGCACAGTAATTACATATTTAATAACGTGAAGCTAAGAAAAGAATGATAATGATGGAAAGGGACAAAGGGTGCGTGAGGTACAGTACATGTGAAACGTTGTTTTAATATTTATTATAGAGTCAAAAACGCGGTTGAAGTTGTTCTAATTTAAGAGGCCGATCCTGATCAAATTGGATGTTGTTGACTCCACAATGTTAGTTATATAACTGTGACCACTGACCACGTGTCACATCTCACAAAAAGTTTCCATGTGTGGTGGAAAAGTTTGGTGCCAACGAATCTTTGTTATAATAATAATTAACGGACTCCACCTGACCGACACACCTACAGTCTTGTTGCTTACTTGAACGAGTAAAAATAAAGATATCAAGCTTAAGAAAAGGCCTTTTTTCTCATGAAACGGGGGCACTTTTCTTCCTTCTATAAGAAATGAGAAGGCCATGCCTCATCTTACCATACTCTTCAAATCATGCCTAATTAAGGTAAGGTGAAAAAAGCTATGTATAGAATAAAGGCAATAGCAACTTGTGTGTGTGTCTCTCTCTCTACAAGATACTTGGAGAAAGCTGCTTCGGTTGCCAACAATTCTACAAAACTGGCGTTTGACCATCCATTACAATCATCGAATCACAACAGCCATCAAAACCAAAATTAAAACATCAAAAAAACCAAAGTTCAACTCAAAAAATACATACATATTAGTAGCTAGAAGATATGTTATGAAACAACAGTTGCTACCACAACCGATCAAGGCAATGATGGTTTTCACATTGCAAGTGTACTTGTACCACTTAAAATAGCATCCAACAACCATGAATTATAAAAGAACTAGACCTATAATAATGATAAGATAATAATAATAATAGGAGAAGACACAAAATGGTGGATGTGGCGGCTGGAACGACGAAAAACAGAAAATAAACTTCAAACAAAACAACACTTACTACTAAGCAGAAACCAGCTTTTCCTTGGTAATTTTCTAAAGAGGACAAAATCTCATCAGAGGAGATCAGCAACATTCGATGGCAGCTCCTCCACAAGCACGTTATAGAACTTCTGGATGTCAAACAGCATCCTCTCATCATCCTTTGTTACAAAGTTGATGGCAACACCCTTCCTGCCAAATCGTCCACTACGCCCAATTCTGTGTAGGTAGTTCTCTGGCTGGGTAGGCAGGTCATAGTTTATAACAAGGGAGACTTGCTGAACGTCAATACCACGAGCCAGAAGATCAGTGGTGATCAAGACACGAGATGACCCAGAACGGAACTCCCGCATGATGATGTCTCTGGTGTTCTGGTCCATGTCTCCATGGGTGGCAGAAACTGTATGGTCTCGGCTCCGCATTTTGTCAGTCAACCAATCAACCTTGCGTCGAGTATTGACAAAAATGACACTCTGGGTAATGGCCAAAGTTTCATAAAGATCACAAAGAGTCTCAAGCTTCCATTCCTCCTTGTCAACATTGACATAAAATTGCTTGATACCCTCCAGGGTGAGTTCATCACGCTTCACAAGAATCCTCACAGGTTTGTTCATGAACTTCCTTGTGATCTCAAGGGCCTCAGGTGGCATTGTGGCAGAGAACACCCCAACCTGAATCTTTGATGGCAGAAGCTGAAATATATCATAGATCTGGAACCACCACAAAAATGCATTTCGCTTCAGATAAAATTTTAATTACAAAATCACATTGATTTCAGCAAACCAAGGAAACTGAAATGAAAGCCATATAATGAAGTGATACAAAGGTGGAGCAAAACTGCTACTGACTCGGCATATTTGTCATTCTGGAATGTCAATTAATTACTTCATGTATGTTTTAATGCATTACAGTTCTTATCCATATTAATAGATAACTACACTGCATACATGATTTATCCTTGCATATGAGAAATCCATTATTCACATACAACCTCATTATGCAGAACATGCATTCACTAGTCCTAAAACGCGTAAAAACAGACAGACATCATTGGGTTGAAAAAATACCTGATCCTTGAAACCTCGGGAAAGCATCTCATCAGCCTCATCCAAAACGAACATTTTGATGTTATCGGGACGAAGCGACTGTCTCCTTAGCATGTCAAAAACACGACCAGGAGTGCCCACAACAACATGAACCCCATTTGACAGAATGCGCTGGTCTTCACGAACACTGGTTCCACCAACACAAGCATGGACCCTCACACCCAGATAGTCTCCCAGAGCCCTCATGACCTTCTCAATCTGTTGAGCAAGCTCTCGAGTTGGGGCAAGAACCAAGGCCTGGCATTCTGTCAACCCATAATCAAGCTGTTGAAGAATACCAGAACAGAAAGTCGCTGTCTTCCCAGTTCCAGACTGAGCCTGTTGAATAACATCAAGACCCTTGCAGAATGGAACAATTCCCCTTTGCTGAATAGCTGAGGGTTTTTCAAAACCTGCAAAAGGAATAACAGTGAATTCAACCATTCACCAGTCTAGAGAAAACACGGCTATAAGACAAATGGAAAACTCCATGAAGATATTAGAGTACAAAATTTTTAGAATTCTTCCTCTTGTCATAAACAATATAACATACTAAAAAGAGGACAAAAAATTATGGCTATATGTACCGTAAGCATAAATGCCCCTCAGAAGATTCTCTTGCAGACCCATAGAATCAAAACTATCATAAACTTCATCATATGATGTAAAGAATTCCTGCCCATCAGTTGCAAGTCTGTAGCCAATTCACCAAGCATGGGAGATACAGTTAGCAACCAGTTTTGAATCCTTACGAAAACTTTTTAACCACATAATAAATACAAGAAAAGAGTAAAAGACGCATACCCACATCACTACCACCAAAATGCACGAATAAATACAAGAAAAGAGTAAAAGCTTCATAGGCACCTAAAATGCAGTTTTAAAGTAGAAAAATGAGAGTGCGAATCTTACAGCTCAGTCATTTTGGAATCATACTGACGAGTATCAAATTGTGATCCTTCTGGAGCTGCCATGACTGCACAAGTACCAACAATAGTATAAGAGAAAAACATCACCAATCTTCTCAACCAGTACAAATTGTGTGAAAATTAAGCAAAAATAACAATGATGTCCATGCTAATGCTACTTCGAATTATACAGTAACTCATATTTTCTCAGATTTCAATAATTCAATGATTTCTTCATGAAAAACATTAAACAGCATTTGTCACTCTCCTCTCTAGAAGGATTTAAGAACTTCAAACACAATTTTGTATAACTAACATCCACGTATGACTAACTATTAACTACCGCATAAACGTAATAACATAAACCACACTGTGAGAAGCAATAAACAAAACTTAAAACAATATTATCTGCAATAGTACGAAAATTTCAAAGATCAGAAGCATTATAGAACTTGTAGTAACAACTACTTAAGAAAACGTTACCATTCACATCAAATATATGGAGCACAGGAAACATATTGAAAACGAGAAAGAACTACAAGAGTTTTCTGAAATTAATTCTCAAATCTTAATAGCAAAACTTATTTATTCCTATACAACTGAAACAACAGAACTCAGACGACTATGCTCAATAGTGAAAAACAAATATTTCAACAACAAAAATACAAACAGAAGAAAATAAACAGCAAATCAACATCAACGAACACAAGCCAATTCAGAATCCAGAAATTTATGGAAAGAAAAAATCGTGAAAAAAAATGGAGAGAACCGGATCGAACAACCGTGCGAGTAAAAAAAGATGGATGTATAAGGAGAAAGGTATGCGAGGAAGACCTGCCGATGATCGGTGAGAAGGTGAAAGCGAAGAGAGAGCGACCGAAGAGAGCTTTGGTATGTTTTCTGAAAATTAGGGTTTCCCAAACTCCTCGGATCTAAGCCGCGGAGTTAAGGAATGAGCGAGAGAGAGACAGAAAGAGAGAGAAAGTTTTGTGTTTGACAAGTGAGTAAACTAAGCGAGTGAGGGGGTTTTGATTATTGTATATCCGATTCGAGGGAGTATGGTCTTCGCGTCCCTCCAGATTCGATTCGGGCACGTGGCGCTCACGGATTGGCAGGAGTGGAATAGGAGTATAAAACGGACTCTCTTTCCTCATAGAATTAGCACACGAATATATGGGGCTGGATTTGGAACGGGCTAAGGCCCAAACACAACCTCCTATTAAATTTTTTCAATAACAACTTGAGCTACAAATTCATTACAACCTCTCGTATATGGGTATATTGGGATATATGGGTATATTGGTATAGTAATTTTCCCGGGCTTTCAAATGCACCAAAATATTTGATCACATCCGTCTTTAAAAGGAGATTTTTTTTAAAAATGCCCTGAATATGCAAAAGAACAAAAACCATAATTAAAAAAAAAGGGTAAAGCATGGTCATCTATTGCTGGCCCTTTAATTCATAGATTATATGTAAACTTGGAACATCAAAATCATGTACTTACACCTTATTGTCTGAAAACTTTTTTCTTGTAGTGGTAAAAATGGGCCAATAACATTTACAACAAGGCTCGAACCAATTTTACAGTTTCAGCAAACTATGTGGAAACTCTCAGCACATCAAGCTCTACATGGTTCTTACAAGGTTACCCACCACAATTTTTCCAAGGACCATGCAATTGCAATTGGATTTTACCACCCATTAAGTTTGAAATGCTTTTGCAGCCTACAATTCTTTCAAGAGCCCACTGTAAACGATATTTGAACTCTATCTAAACACATCGGCAGATGAATGTGCACAAGTGGCTTCCGAAGTGGGAAATAATGTCAACAAGACCTCCGTAACCTCCTACTGCTGTAACCTGAACAAAACAATGGTTCAATGGGATGAGAAGTGAAAATAGAATTTGATAAGTGATGAAGTTAAAAACCTCTTTCAAGTTCTGTGTAATAACTTTAACCCATACCATGGTCCTCAGCATGCTCTTTCATTAATAATATTGTCATTAGCTTCTAAGTACATACATTTTCGTTTGCTCTAGCCACACCTATTCTTTATAGCAAGGATAGAAGCTACATATTCCTTTAAAAACATGATTTGGATCTTTTGAGTCACTGAACCTACTTTGAAATACGTACTTTTCAAAATTTCAAATCAAAGGATAGTGCTGGTAACTTAGCACCCAGTGCTAAACCTAAAATATGAGCAAGTTGGCAAGACCAACATTCTT